AGTATGCTTTGACTCTGAGGACCCTTCACAGTGTGCTGCGGAAATATCCGAGATCATCATGCTCGGAATGGATACATACATACCTCATTTTTCGAAAAGATCATCACCTTCGAAACCCTGGTTCAACAAAAACTGTTCTAGAACTGTTGCCTTGAAACAAACAACCTACCATCGCTGGCGCAAAAACCCTAACCTCGCGACTAGAGCAGAATACGTTGATGCCAGGAATAACTGCAGCCAAACAATAGATTCTTCGAAAGAAACATACAATGCCAAGATAAGATCGAAACTCATAGATTGCCCCAATGGCTCTCGTTCGTTTTGGTCCCTTGCTAAAGCGGTCGGAAGAAATTTCACTAATAGCTCATTTCCACCACTGTCCAAATCCGACGACACGTTAGCAACAACATCGCAGGAGAAAGCAAATATTTTTGCAGAGATGTTCGCAGCAAACTCTACTTTAGATTCCCAAGGGTATTTTTCTATCATGCTGGAAGACAGCTAGAGTCCAACCAATCCCCAAAAAAGGGAACAAGAACCTGCCCAACAACTACAGGCCCATTGCCCTGTTATCAGTAATCTCCAAAGTGATGGAGAAAGCCATCAATATTGAGCTTATCAAATATCTGGAGAGCTCAGGAATCATCAATGATAGACAATACGGCTTTCGCCATCGAAGATCTACTGGAGATCTACTTGCCTACGTCACCCATTTATGGCAATCTTCAATAGAAAAACACGGGGAATCTCTAGCTGTCGCGTTGGACATTTCGAAAGCATTCGACAGTGTTTGGCACGAAGGACTCCTCCACAAACTACCATCATACGGCTTACCACCTCAGCTATGCCATCTCTTATCGAGTTTTCTTTCAGGCAGATCGCTTCACGTGGTGGTGGACGGTGTATCGTCTGATACCTTTGGCATCAATTCCGGCGTTCCACAAGGATCAATTTTGGCACCAACATTATTCCTGCTTCATATCAATGATCTGTTGGGAGTAACAACT